AGTAGACTGGAACTGAAAAATGACAGTTTTCATTTAACTTGTTAAAGCGGGAAAATAGCGAGTAAATAGGAAAACAGAGTCCTCTCGTGTCGCGACAAGTTGAGAATCATGAGTCGCGATATGGTGCTTAAGTATAATTGAAATTAATTTAGCCCAAAACTTACTTATTCTATCCACTAAAATAATAAGATAATGCAAATAAAATGAGGAAATATGGAATTCTTTCATTTTTATATTTCATTCATAGCTTCAAATCATGACTGGCTCTCATCTGGGGAGAGCCCCCCAAACTCCACCTATGGCCACACGTCACATCTTTTCCTTTCCTTTCCTTTAAATAGACTGTCTGAACTATTCATCACCGCAGCCCTTAACCTTGAGTCATGGTGTCACATTGCTGTAAAAAACACCCTATAGTTTATTCTGATTTCTCTTTTCTTGAGTTAGCATGTCATGTAACCAAAGTCAAAGATTTTCTGTAAAATATTTTTCTGATCTGACAAGCCTAGTGCAAGTACTAAACACAAATACTGTTTCAATTCCTCAAAAACTATTCTAGCCTCAGGGGTCCAGGCACTGAGCTTTTTTAACCATTTATGTAAAGCTACATTTCCTGCATTTTTTAATGCTATATATGTATGTGTGCTTGAATTACATTTTACATACAAATACTAATGAGATCACATTGGTCTATGAGCAAAACAAGAAACAAAGTTATAATAATCACCAAATAAAAAGACAGAAACATCACAGATCTGCAGTACTGTGTTTTGAATTGCATATTGAAATTTTACGCAGAGCTCAAACCGTACAGCACTGAATCAGAAGTGCGGTGAGCCGAATGACTACAGGCCAGACTAAACGCCCCAGCGTGGCTGATAAACGTCGCCCAGCAGTCACACTTCTCTGACTTTAGCTGGGTGTTTTGTCTTTGCTGTGACAGTGAAGTTAGTTTTAGGCCCCTCAGGTGTTCACATTGTCTCAAGACAGCCTCTCATTTGCCATGACAGAATTGTATCAGCGGAACAGGGAGTACATTAGGAAAAGTGCATCTCTGCTGTCATTCACTGTCCTACAGGGCTTTTCCAGCCTGAATCTATTCCATCACCACCTGTCCCTTTAGCTCAGCTCCAGCCATAAGTAAGATTTAACTTATATCTGCATTACAGCATTCTTCCAGAACTCAAAACTAAACTTCCAATCTGAACTGTATACTTGTCTTTTGTGTGTGCGCGTGTGTGTGTGTGTGTGTAGTCATTTGTTTTTGTCATTTTGTCATATTTATTCCATGACTAAAATGACTAAAAATCACAAAATGACAAATAAAAAATTGCTAAAATTAAAATGGAAAAAAATTAAAATGATTCAAAATTGTAATAAAAACTACAATATTATCTTGATGATACTACAATAACACTGCTCGACACTCAATTATACATCCACTGTTGGTTAACTTTACATTAACTTAAAGCTTCTTAAATGTCAATTAAGTTGTATAGTGCTTTTCAAAATAACATTGTTTCAAAGCAACTTTACAGAAAATCATAATGCTAATGTTTATAACATTTTAATATCTTCATGCCTTATAGTCACATTTAGCAGATTAGATCTGTGCAATACAAATCATTTTACATTTTGTGACAATATAAACAATAAAGCTGTTTAGATTTGCAATATAGTATATATCACTTTAGGCAAGTATAGGGTTTGTGGGTAAAGTTGAATATACTGGCAGTAGTTGTAAGTTGTAAGTATATTGAAGATCATGAAGGTTTTGTTTAATTTATAACAATTTGGTGTAGTGGCAAGCCTAATTTCTATTTTGGTGAAATGCTATTTAAAATGTACATTTTTAATTTTAAACTTTGCATATTGTAATGTGGGGTTTTGTTTTGTTTCATGTTCTTGTTTTCCATGTCTTTTATTTTGTAATTGTTTCATGCTGTCAGTGTCCTCTTCTTCTTCTTCTTAGTTTTATGGCGAGTTGCAATCTTTGCGCATATCGCCACCTACTGTGCTATTGTGCAATCAGGATTTTCTTTTATTATATTAGTTGTTCTGTCTCAACTCTGAAGCCATCAAGAGTCCAGGTATCGGTTGGCGCTTTTGCCTTCAGTGGACTGATTCGTTACAGAATACACGACCCCCACAATGAACCCAGCAGATCGTCTTGTTCACCTTTGCCAAGAAAACCGGGCCATAGAGGATTACGTGGAGGACTTTTGTGGTGTCATGTGACCCTCTTGTCTGCTATAAGTAGCCATCATGTTTCCATAGTCTTTGTCGTGTATTGAGTTGTAACCCGCTGTTGGTGAGTCTAGTCTGTGCCTCGTCAAGTCTGTTCATGCCTAGTTAAGTCTGTTCATGCCTGCTCTGCCTGCTCCGCCATGGCCCCCCGCTCTGCCTGCTCCGCCATGGCCCCCCGCTCTGCCTGCTCCGCCATGGCCCCCCGCTCTGCCTGCTCCGCCATGGCCCCCCGCTCTGCCTGCTCCGCCATGGCCCCCCGCTCTGCCTGCTCCGCCATGGCCCTGCAAGTTTCAGTAGTTAAACAGTTGTGAAGGCCAGCCATTCTTCAACTATGCTCATTTTCATCCTTTGTCCTTACACTGGCTTCATTCTGGTAATAAATTTGTCCAATATTCAAACTGGATGAAATAGTTATACTTGAGGTTACAAGTCCATGTTAATTTAACCAAACAAAAGGCAAGTTGAAGAACCCTTAAAGTTTTTAGGTTACAAATTAGGCCAGAAAAATGCTTGACGCAGGTACAAGTGAGTGCTTCACCAACGCAATGCAAGCATGTGGTCCTATTATGAACTGGGAAAAGCAACAACGCATGAAATCAAGTTTGCATAGCTTAGTGCTTTCATTGATGTGTAGAGTATTTATGACCTTAGTTGATTAGAATATTTCATTCATCAGCTGTTAAGGTATTTAAGGACAACATAATGATAGTAAGCAATAACAATAAACAGCAATTAGTGTAATGAAAATTTGCAGCTTCTGTCCTCACCTACAGCTTTGTTAATGATAACACCCACTATTTTTGCAACAAGAATGTCTGGATCTGATGAATGGTTTACTAGTGTGTTATTATCATTAGCCTTTTGTGTGATTGTGTGTAATAACCCTCCATCCTTCATTTTAACCCCCTACCATGACTACTGCTAAATCTGAACGCAACATCAGTAGCTCATTTCCATGCCTTGGTGAATAATCTCTATGCGAAAATTAAGAGAAAACTGAACATGAACCTCTACGTTATCTTGCACAATAAAACACTTAAGATCAATTCAAATCTCTGATGTTTAGTTTTATAAATATACTCTTAATTATGCATTTCCTTTAAATCCCTAATTGGTGCACAACATAAAACATTTTTAAAACTGTCCTTACAGGCTAAACATTCACAGACATTTTTATTTTTATTTTTTTGCAAGGATGCCATAGAATAACTATTTTGGGTTCCCAAAATAACCTTTCAGTGATTTGTTCTTAAAATAACGTTTTTTTCCCCCTCAGTGTGAAGAATATATAAAGAACTCAAAGCAACTTTCACTACTTCACTACAAAGAAACTTTTGTGCAATAAAAAAAAAACTACCATGGATGTTAAAGGGTCTTTATGGAACCATATGCAAATAAACAACATTTGATTTACAGAGCATAATGGAAAAAAAATAAAATCTTAATGCTACAACATACAATGAAACTTTGGAGAATTCTGTCCCGTTCAGACACATAAGCATTAATTAGATGGCAGGTCTTCTGTTCCAGTTCATCTCAGAGGTGTTAAATGGGTTTAGATCTGGACCAGTCAAGTTCTTACATATCAGACTCAACAAGTCAGTTCCATATGGACCTCGCTCAGGGGTTCAGGGGTTCTGGCAAAGGGCCCTCCTCAAACTTTACATCATGTACAACTGTACATCATATGGAAAAGTGGTGAACCAATGAACCAACCCAGCCTCATTAGAAAAACATGTCTGTGCTAACATTACTGCATAATGCTATTGTGTTGCTTCTTGACCATTTTGTGACACTTTCAATGTATCATGACCAGTAAGCGGTACTAACAGCACATTCAGTTTCATTCAAAATATTTGTGCTGACCTTCTGTAAGCATAATTCCCTCCGTGGTTGCTAAATGCTTTTATGTAAAAAAAAAAATTGTAAGAGACAAATACACAGTCTTCTGCCATGTATACACAAAAAAGAACAAGAGATTAGTTGTTAAAAAAGCTAAAGGAACAACCAGAAAAGGTACAATTCAGTCAGAACTAATGGCCACTATTGTGCCACTGTGTATAGGGTATTATTTATCATTTGAACAACCATAATCATTTCTGTTGCATTACACTATTATGTTGATATATTTGCAGAGTGGACATAAAAACATAAAAATAATACAAATACATAAAGTAGCATCTCCTTCCCTTAGTGTCCTTCAGTGCATAAAAAACACCATTGGGAATCTTGACTAGACAATATTTGTCTGAACTTATTTCTCCCTTTAAATCAACTTGATTTTGACAAGTATGCCAGCCCAAAAGTCGAGTGACTCTTTTGGGAAAAGTCTTCATGTTATTGTCAGTCCATCCCTGCCTTCTTCCAAAAAAACAGCTTGTTGAATTTTAAGGATGAAATAGATAGTGAAACGTGTTCTAGGCACAAAAACAACCCTTTTTGAATCTAGATTTGTTTTGTTAGCGAGAATCGTGCTTATCAATGTGTAACATCCCTTGCAATGCTCTCATATTCATGTGGTGTCACAGTGACGACGGATGGCACACACGATTGCATTTCTGAAAGGTCTGGAGTGAAAACCTCCTCCTGTCTGATGTCTGTGGACTGATGATGTGGTCCTGAGTCTGCTGTGAAATGGCCCCGTGTCAGATGTGCGTGATGAATTTCAAAGTCCAGGGTCAAAGTGTGCAAAGAAGAGATGTATCATGGTGTGAATGACTGAGGCAGAAACATATCCACCCACTGAGGCTGAGTAGAAAGCGCTGTGAAACTGAATGTCCAAACACTCATGCTCTCATGCTGGAACAGAGAAACTGAATCCAGTCATGATGAACATTAGAGCAGAGGTTAGTTCTCCAGCTGCAGCTAACAAACATTAGCTTTTACCATCTGGTTGAACGATTCTGCCTCCTTAAACTTTTAATGCACATGGAAAAGATACATTTTGTTGTATGGGAACTCTTGCTTTCTGAGACAAAGAAGAGATAAATAAATGACAAGAACTGGTACTTTGTTGTTGTTTTTTTTTACCTTCTTCTTTAAACATAAGTGTGTGTATGTGTGTGTGTGTGAGAGAGAGTTTGTTTGTGTGTGTGTGTGTGTGTGTGAGAGAGAGAAAGAGAGAGTGTGTGTGTGTTACAAATAACGAGTGGTAACTCCGCTAATCTAATAGGGAAACGTACAAACAACACATGCAATATACCAGATATATTTGTAACTGATTAATTATTGTCTAAATAGAGTAAAGGTCTTTATGTGTGTGTGTTTTTGTGTGTGTTTGTGTGTGTGTGTGTTATGTGAGCCTGTTGTAGTTGGCTGGTCAGCCCGGCCCATCGGTGCCTGGCACCGGGGGGGTCATTTACTTGTCTTTGGAAACTGTTTGAAGTCAGTTGGGGAGATGATAGTGGGGGACTGCTTAGCATCTCCTTGATAGCGAGGAACCATTTGGCAATTTAGCCCCCATATAAATGTAAAGTC